CAAAAATCTTTTCTTTTGTTATTAAAATCACTCTATAAATAGAGTTGCAATATCAGTTGCACGACAAAAGACTTAAATATGGTGAATATATGAGATTTTTCTCAAGAAAGCGAAATTCTATCCAAGTTCTTTATCCTTGGTAATAAATCTAGAAGTCCTTTATTCCTGACTGGTTATTTTCCTTTAGGCCTTGGTGTGAACTTTTCTTATCCTAAAATCTTTTATTCTTGGCGGGAAGCTTATCCTCTAAGCATTGGTGGTGAATATCGTCTATACCGATCTTTATCCTTAGTTGGTGGCACGTACTTAATACCTTGGTGGTGATCGTAATCTATCCCTTATCACTCAAAACACATTCCCCACCCTGCACACGTGTCAAATTGGTATCAGAGTTTAAAGTTGAACTCGTTTTGAGTGATTCCTTATGATACCCATTTGACATCCTGTCTCATACTCTCATAAATGAAAATGGTTGGTTAGGTTCCAAGAGACTTAACTTTGGAGCAAGCACACAACGAAAGGCGTGACTGTGCCATAACGGATCTCCAACAACAAATGGAGCGAGTTATCAACCACCTAAAGAATCAGGTGAGGCAAGAGCCACCACCAATATCTCATATTAATTGACCACGCCATGACGATCCAAATCATCCTCAAAACTCTAACGATGAATCTAACGAAATTGAAAAATCCTCAACCTCTTGGAGAATCAGGCAAGGCAAGAGCCGCCACCAATACCTTCTATTAATTGACCGCGCCTTGACAATACATATCCTCCTCAAAACTCTACTGATGAATCTAACGACATTGGAGGCGATTCTAGTGATTCCAATTACCAAGTCAGTAGGAGAAAAAAAAGGTGCGAGGACATGACCGTGAAATCAAAGCGAAAATGCCAGAATTTGAGGGTAACCTCAATGCAAACAACTTTATCAACTAGCTACATGATATCGAATGAGTATTTGATTTCCACTCATACTTGGACGAAAAGTGATGCAAAGTTGTTGTTCTCAAGTTGAATAAATATGTTTCACTTTGGTGGGAAAACTTGAAGAATTAGAGAGTTTGTGATGGAAAAAGTCGAATCAAATCTTGGGAAAAACTCAAGAAACTGATGAAGAAGAGATTCTTGCCCAACAACTACAAGCAAGATCTATTCCGCAAGATGAATTCCTCAAGCAAAATGGAATTAGCATTGAAGAATATATCAGGGAGTTTGAACAACTCCTTATGAAGCGTGATGTTCCGAATTACCAGAGCAAACCATCGCTTGTTACGTTTGTGGATGAACAGAGAGATTGCTGACTTGGTTAAATTTCAACCATATTGGTCCTTCGAAGATGTTTGCAAACTAGCCATGAAGGTGGAGAAACAATTGAAGAGTGGCAAGAGTTAGTCGAACAAATCATCGACAAGGGGAGCATCCTTCTTTAAGGGTGCTTCTTCTAGCAAGGCCAAGAATACGTTGATAAAGGACAAAGGCAAAGAGAAAGCCATGGAGTTTGTAAAAAAAAACTCCCCAAAAAGGTTGATGGCAGTGTTCGAAAGTGCTTCAAGCGCTATACTTATGGACACTTTCAAGTCGATTGTCCTAACCGAAGAATTATGACTTTTCAAGAAATCAAGAAGATCGATATGGGGCTAGAAGAAGTTGTATATGATCCCGACCAAATGGAATCCCAATCTGAGGAGGAAGATGATATCGTGAAACAACTAAATGAAAGTAAATTGTTCGTTATCAAAAGAGCTTTGATATATGAGTTTGGAGATATTTTTCCAGGTGATTTGCCTCCTGGATTACTTCCCATAGGAGGAATTGAGCATCAAATCGATTTGCTTCCTAGTGTTTCTTTATCCAATAAAGCTGCTTATCGCTGCAATTCGGAGGAAACTAAGGAGCTACAACCACAAGTCAATGAGCAAATTGCAAGAAGATATGTATGGAAAAGAATGAGTCCTCGTTTGGTTACAGCCCTACTCGTACTGAAAAGGGATAAATCCTTCATAATGTGTGTCAACAGCCAAGTCATGCCTTTATGAGTGGCTAGTCATGCCATGTGGTTTGTCGAATGCTCCACCAACTTTATGAGACTCGTGATAAAGGTCCTTCTTTTCTTTATTGGTTGATTTTTTTTTTTTTTTGGTAAGGTAAGGATTGTATTAACTTTTCAAACCGAAGCTTACAAAGATTGTAGCCAAACACAAAAACCCCGCACATAGAGCGACACCTAAGTGTCCCAACAGGTGCAAAGGTGTTAGGCTAAACAAGGTACGGAAGCAAAGCAAGAAGGCTGAAAAGACAGCCAACTAACTAAGAAAAATACATACAAAGACCGCATCAGCAGGTTACGCGAATATGGACGAGGAAATGCCCCTATTACGCGAATATTGATTTTTTTTGTTGTTGATTTCGATAACATTCTTGTTTGTAGCAAGAATGAGGAGGAGAATGTTTCTCACTTAAAATAGGTCTTCAAAGTTTTGAGAAGACAAAGACTCTATGCAAAACGGAAGAAATGTCAATTCTTTTCGACAAGCATCATATTATTGGGCTATGTAGTTTCCAAGGATGGGATCTCTGTTGATCAATCCAAAATGGAAGAAATCAAAACTTGGCCGATTCCAAAATCGATTTCCGATGTAAGGAGCTTCCATGGACTTACTTCTTTCTACTAACGGTTTGTGAAGAATTTCCGCACATAATTACAGAACACATGAAGAATGGATCTTTTAAATGGATTAAAGCTACCCACAATGCTCATGAAATCATTAAACAAATGCTTTTTGAGTCTCATGTCATTGCCCTTCCCGATTTTTACAAAGTGTTTGAGGTTCAATGCGATGCAAGTGATGTCATCATCGGGACTGTTCTTGCTCGAGCCCAAAAACCTCTAGCGTATTCCGACGATGAAGTTAACAAGAAGGTTTTTATCAATATATCTTAGAAGATAGCAATCATCTCCAAGCAAATTGAAGAAAAAAAAGCTAAAACACTTATTTGGTTGCTATGACTTTTGTCAAGCAAACCAAGTTTGAAACTTCAAGCTTCATCAATTCTCGAAGTATGTTTAATGTATTTTCAACTTTTCTACATGCCAAAGATTTTTATGCGGATGAAGCTGTGTATTATCCAGTTTGTTAGAGAGGCCGTCTAAGAAACTTGTCGGATTCGAATTCCTTTCAGTAGAGGTGATTATGATAACTTGACAACTTTCAATGTGGGAGACCTTTCTCCTTATTTTAAAGATGAAGAAGGCATATCAGAGTTGATGACAAATCTCAAACAACTTGAGGAGATTGATGCGGGAGCATCGGATTATATTGATCAACTCTCAAGCTCAACTCATGTTTCATCGATTAAACCAACACATTCGTTATTCATACATGCAAAAGCCAACTTCGGCTACAACTTAATTAGATGGGTTCAAGGTTGAAGTTGCTGATTATGCGACATAGTTGTTGATTTTCAAGATTTGTTTTGGACTTTGAAGCTTCCAATCGACTACTTAGTAACCGGAGGCTGTTCTAATCGATTTCCACCATTATTTGTTCATCTTCTAAGACGATTATTCGGCTTCTAAGGTTGGTGCTTGAATTTGAATGATCAAGTTGAGTTTAAATGCATCAAATTTTAGTTAAATGCATCTAGTCCTAGTTACCAAGTGTGTTAATTCATAGTTTTAAGAGTCTTTTTTTTTATGTTGCTTTCAAGAGTCTTTATATGAATACTCCAAGAGTCATTTCAATTTCTAGGATTCCAGGAGTCTTTTCTTTTGTTTAGTAGAATCACCCTATAATAAATGTGTAATCTCAGCTGTAAAATAGAAATCTTAAATATGATGAATTTATGAGATTTTCCTCAAGAGAACAAAATTCTATCCTGATTCTTTATCTTAGGTGGCTTCTTCCTTACTGGTGAACCAATAAGTCATTTATCTTTTACTAGTAGTTTTCCTTTAGGTTTTGGTGGTGAACTTCTTTTATTCCAAAATCTTTTATGCTAAGTGGGTGGCTTGTCCTTTAAGCTTTAGTGGTAAACTTCATTTATCACTATTTTTATGCTTGACTGGTGGCGCGCCCTTATGAGTTGGTTGCGATCGTAATCTATCTATTATCACTTAAAACACATTTGCCACCCACACACACATCACCACCTTGACCAAACAATTCTAAGATAGAGAGACAGAGTAAGTAAAAGAGGGCGCCCTGAACTTGAACTTATATCTTTTGACACTCGTGCAACGATATTTTGGCATCCAGGCTAACTTACTCGACATATTGCTCACTTCTCACCATGTGTTATAAAATTAACGCAAAAGCTAATGAATCTTGCAATATTATTCAAGTGCATATTTCCTGTGTTGTCCCTTCTTTTGTCCTTTTGCGGCCTCCTTCGGAGAGCTTTTCCCTTGTGCGAGTTGGAGAAGCGTCCTTCTTTCTTTTTCTTTTTCCGTTTGCTTGTGCGGCTCAAAAAGGGGTCACCGACTATGCGGCAATACCTATACGTGTCCACCATGCGGTCAAACTTGGATTTGCTTTGCTCCCCGGTCAACCTTGAATATCTATCTCCATGAAAAAAACAAACCACCACCTTGGATATCGTGTCGACCGAATCTTGGATTTGCGTATCCAGCAGAAAAAACAAATTATAATCGGCAACCTAGGGCAAGACCAAATCAAAGTCCAATTAAGACTTTCTTGAACGCCTCGTCCAATTGTCCCCACAAGGCGGATCGGTCTACATCCTGCAATCGGGTCCATCTCATATACATCGGAGATTGTTAGACTGCCAAAATGCCTCTCGTAAGCCGATTCTTATTTCACTTATATAATCTCGGCAGTCCCTCCTTATTCGTTGTGTCATTTGATTCACGTTTCCGTACACATAAGCCACTTTTGTCTCCTAAAACACTTGTAATCTTGAAAATGAAAGAAAAAGGACAGTAAAATTGATCGCAGCTTTAAGATAGAATGCCTCCCATGACTTCTTGTAGCAAAGGTTTGAGCATAACCTTGGCAATTCTCTAGCTTTATATATTGAAGGTACTGAAACAAATCTAACTTAGGTCTCATCCATCGGACAAGGATCATCAACTCCAATCACTTAGTTCACAAGAAAGACGAACCTAGATAAAATAATGCCGAGGAAAGTATAGCCGATACTAAAGTGACCGTTGGCGGAACACGTCCTTTGTCCGTCCTCAGCACCATCCCTTCAATCACAGGGTAACTCATCACTATGGCGAAAAGTACCAGAACCATTTGCATAAGCAATTTGTCCCAACCCCCCAAAGCAAGCACCCTAGTGATTCCTCCGACGAAGGAAGCCACGTTCAATATCACTGCAGCCACCATCGGAGCCAAAAACATTATGGACGTCTGGAAATCGAATAAGCCCATCTTGTATCTCTTCGATTGCTGGTCATCGGCAGCCTTATTTGTCGGTGAGAAGCTAGCTTTTCTCATGTCAAGTTGCTTCAGGATAGCGTCCATCGTTCCATACACGTGACTAGTCACCGACCTGATCATCCACATCCGTTGCTCGTTCATGAATGTTCGAACCGAGTGACCGCTCGCAACGACTTCATACAAGTGCTTGCAGAGTGATGAAACAAACACCAAGGAAAGTACCATGGAATATGTACTTGAAACCTGACGGATAGAAAAACAATTGATGTTAATCTGCATCTAATTCGCCAGGTCAATCAACACCACAACTAAACCTACCATAAAATAAATTCAAGTGCACAGAGGTCAACTACATTATTAGCAATCCTAAATAGGAATAAGACTAGAGTGATTTTTGACAATGTACTAATCTAGCGCTTAAGAGTGTCAAGTTACCTTTGGATATATGGCGATGCCATTCAATAGACAGATCTGAGGAATAGTGGCAAAGATCCAAATGGGCAAGCAATAGAGTGGAAAAAATGCAAGTTCAGCATAGCACATGCTGTGCAAAATTGGCATCCTCAGTGAGCCGTATATCAGAGGACAGAATCCAGAGAAGCCGACTTCGGCAAGGCCCGAACTCCATCTCGTGCCTTGAATCAGCAGGTCATTCAAATTTGTCGTCGCTGTTCCCATGAACTGTGGCCTTGACGGGCTATAATACACCGATGTCCACCCTTTGCAGTGCAAGGTAAAGCCTGTGAAGTAGTCTTCCGCCACGGATTGGTACAGGAAGCCCACCTGAATATCGGATAAACGAACGGTAAAAAAAAAGTTGAAAAATTACCTATGGCAAACCAAAATGTTACTAATTATACTCACCTCCTGACCCCATTTGGTGCCATTTTCGTATCCACAAGAAGCTAAGAACTGGGCTTCTTTCCAGAATGCTGCAGAGTTGCCAAGAATAACGTTCTTGCTTGGCAGGTCGTTCTGCTGGAGATACTTAATGAATTCTTTCGAATTGCCAAAGAGCTTTCTTAAGTCCATGACATCAGTCCCTATCGAATTAGCAGGGCATACAATAAATATCATAGTTGCAGTAATTTAGGAAGCTAGTTTTTACTTCGTAGATAAATGAAAGAGAATTCTTTGTTTTTCACAATTATTAGTAACTAAATTGATCTATCTATTTACTTACCTTCACGTATGGATTTCCCATTCAATGACTCTCTCTTGATATAAAAGCCGGTACCAGATAATCCAGGCCCCTTCAGTCCATCCATTCCACACAAGGATGTCTAAAATAAGGGCAAATTTCAAATTAGTGAGAAATCATAAGAAATTTGTACACGCATAACCGAAAAATGTGCCAGTCTTTCATTATTTTCCTCACCCAAAAGTACGATCGCATTTTGCTATCGTAGATGTCGTTCTCACTGATGTTATAAAATCTTTGAGGAAATTGGACAAACGATAGCGAAGGAGATATTTTCGGATCCAAGTGGAAGCACATGGCCTGCCTTGCTGAAGAAGGACCACTGCAGTACATGTCGCAGTCCAATACCAGAACATAAGGCGAATTGCTCATCACTCCCGAGACTCGGAGCTGTGCAATGGAAGGGCGATATCCAAATCATCGATCAATGAATCATTACAAAATTAGATATCTTTGATAATTTTGTAAAGAAAGAGGATGTAAAATTGGATTTTGTAGCATACAAGAACATTTAGAGCTCCAGCTTTAAAGTGATGATGGTGCGAAGGTCTCTTTTCTCTTGCGACATATACAAGAAGAGGCATGTTTTGTTGGTCTGCTTGCACGACTTCATCAACGGAACTTCCTCCGATCAACTATAACATATATTATCAGAGTCAAGTTCTATAAAGAAAAGGAAAATTAAGTTGTTTTTTAATGAGAAATAAGATTTATAAGTACCTCAACTGTAGATGGATGATCCCGACTACTAAGACTCGAGTCTTTGTAGTGCCTAGCTTTATATCCATTCACTCGTGCCTTAAATAACTCATACTTCTCCTGCAATACAAAATTAACAATAAGAGAGCACAAATTGTGGTTCAATAGGATATTTCATGCGATTGGTCTCCATAAAAAAAGTTGCAATACATTAAACTACATTCAGACCTCCATAGGAATTCATTGCGCTTAACTATAGGACCAATAAAATTTTGGTGCACCAGAAAAAAAAATTATGCCACAATTCATGCAGATTTTGTTTTGCTTCTCGGGGAAAACAAGAGATAGTCCAAACATATGTATTTTTGTTAATGGTATTCTTATTGTTAATATTTGATCCATTTCCTGTGTGAAATTATAGAAGACCAACCTTGACTTTCCGCTTCTCCGAGTCATACTCATCACTAGATCTCACATTAACCCCATCGTCATCCGCTTCATTATCATCATCCCCATCATCCATGAAATAAGCCTTTGGACACCTCGTCTTTATCCCAAACCTCTTACAGAACGGCAACCACCACCTCGCGAAATCGTATGCCTCCCTCATCCCGTACAAGGTGAGTGGCGACCCTGCATCGTCCGAGAGATACACATGGACCTTCTCCAGCGGATAGTCGAGTGCCATCGCAGATATCACTGTGTTCATCACCTCCACGGTCGGCTCTTTATCGGGGTTCGCCGTGCACACGAACACGTCTATAGGCGGAAGTTTGCCGTCTTCCGGCAGCCTCTCGGGGAAGGCGGTCCGTGTGACAGGTCGCCACCGGTAGGCTTGGTTGAGCAGCCATGAGAAGGATAACATTAATTCGGCTAGGAACATGAGGAGCCAAGCCAAAACCGTGGGTTTGTCTGTGGAAGTAATCTCATTGAAGAAAAAAGAAGCTCTGTAGCGTATGAGGATGATCAGAGCTATTGCATGGATGAGCATGTGTGTGCGGTTGATGATGATGGATTTTGTGTTGACGTGGCAAAGAGAGAGAGGGGGTGTATGCCGCTCCATAGTTTAACTCTGCACTTGGGAGTTTGTAACCTAAGCTGTTCTTGAGAATTCTGCAGTAAAATGAGGAGGTTGTCCAAGATTCATGTTAGGGTTTTTTGGATATATATACACACACTCATAGCACACCAACGTTTCATGTTCTGCAGTACTTGTGTTTGACTGATGTATTGTTAATCACGGTCAAATAAGAGTCCCGTGCATACACGCAGTATTTCTTGCGCACCACACCATCTTGCACCTCACGGGACGTGGCGGCTGCTTTACCATTCCAAACAAAACCGGCTTCGATTGGTATGCCCGTCAGCGTTTGTTTTGGAGCGTTGTTTTTTTGTCATTTATTTGGCCAAATTTCTCTAGGTGCACTTTTCGACTTTTCAACTTTTAATTTTTCGTTCGTATGCAATCATTTGGCTGAACAATCTTGACTTCATGACGAGCTCGGTCAAACTTTTTTTTGTTTAGGATCACCTTCGTCCACGAGCCTCTGACATGTATGTTGATACTGAGATTTCCATAAATAATGTTGAGTTCGAAACAATCAGTCATGATTTGTAAAACGCAAACAATGTAGGACATGAGGTAACTCGTGCCCAGATCAGAGCCAAACATTTTTTCTTCATATATTGGGACAGGACATAAGTTGAGTAGCTCTTTGTCTAAACATGAACTGAAAGACCCTTTGCCCATAGAGGAGAGGCTAATAGTGCTCTTTCGTAATTTGTATTCAGACATTCCACGAAACTTTGAACCTACTTGGTTAGATGGTTTGAGTTGTACAATAGTATATGCTGCATAACATTATGAGAAACACTGTACTAAGATTAGGGGGAGGATCTCTCTGTACACACATCAATTAGATCAAATGATTAAGCACATGATTTCCACTTTTCTACCTCGTACATTTTCGGATTTTGGATCTAAATATCGTATCAGTTTAACACAAGCTTTGTTGCTATTTATTTGCAAAGCGACTAATTTTCCATGGTAATTCTCCCCGCTTGAACTACTCATTTAGCAGAAATTTAAAACATTGCGGTGATTCTTTTTCTTACGAGTAAAAGTGACGGTGAGGGCGACCAGTAGTATCGACCTCGTACAGGCTTCATCATAAGGGTCATACCTGCTATAAAATATAGGGTTAATACCACGAAAAACCCTAAATTGATACACTTGTGACACATTTACCCAAACTATTTTTTTGACCATAAAAAACCCCAAACTGGTACACCTGTGACAATTTTACCCCGAACATACCACAAAAAACCCCAAACTGGTACACATGTGACAATTTTACCCCGAACTAATTTTTAATATTATTTTTAATTTTTTTGAATTTTTTATTCTTTTCTTTTCTTTTTTTTTTCTTCAATTTCAACCTCTGGCCGATCGCCGGTCTGGCGACCGGCTAGAGGCGGAAGCCGACGAGGGCCGCCCTCGGCAGCTGCTGGCAAGGGCCGCCCTCGCTCGACTCGGCAAGGGCGACCCTCGCCGGATCTAGCGAGGGCGGCCCTCGCCGGCGTCGGATGAGGGCTGTCCTCGCCCGACACCGGCGAGGGCGGCCCTCGCCTGCGTCGAGCGAGAGTCGCCCTCGCCTGGGAGGGCGAGGATAGCCCTCGCCCGACGCCGGCGAGGGCAACCTCGCTCGACGCAGCGAGGGTTGCCCTCGCCCGACGCAGCGAAGGTCGCCCTTGCCTTGGGCGGCGAGGATGCCCTCGCCCGATGCCGGCGAGGGCGGCCCTCGCCCCACGCAGCGAGGGTTGGCCTCGCCGGATCCGGCGAGAACGGCCCTCGCCCGACGCCGGCGAGGGCAGCCCTCGCCCGACGTAGGCGAGGGAATCCCTCGCCCGATACCGGTGAGGGCGGCCCTCGCCCGACGCAGGCGAGGGAATCCCTCGCCCAATACCGGCGAGGGTCGCCCGAGCCGACGCCGGCGAGGGCGGCCCTCGCCGGCTTCCGCCTCTGGCCGGTCGCCGGACCGGCGACCGGCCAGAGGTTAAAGATGAAGAAAAAAAAATAAAAGGAAAAAAATAAATAAAAATTCGAAAAAAATAAAAAAATAATAATATTAAAATTTTAATTCATGGTAAAATTGTCACATATGTACCAGTTTTGGGTTTTTATGGTAAGTTCAGGGTAAAATTGTCACAGGTGTACCAATTTGAGGTTTTTTATGGTCAAAAAAATAGTTCAGGGTAAAATTGTCATAGGTGTACTAGTTTGGGGTTTTTTATGGTCAAAAAAATAATTTGGAGTAAATATGTCACAAATATATCAATTTAGGGTTTTTCGTGGTATTAACCCTAAAATATATGAATAGTCATGGTTACTATGCAGCACTAAAATCCGAAGTTGGCAAGGGTCGTTGCATACGTTATTCTCTTGTCCTACAAGTACTAAAGTTTAAGCTATGAACATCCTCAGTCCCACACGTGTTGGAAAGATAGCCTTAACTTTTCCAATCCTGAGACTGTCAGACCAACCAATCACTTCATTTGTTTTGTCTTACGAAAGTGTGGCTTTGACTTTGGAGAAGGTGGACCTTGACGGGCAAGGCTTGAAAATTCTCCGTCGGACCTAGACATGGCCACGGGCCGGTTTCGGCCCGGAACCGGCCCGGGACCAGCCTGTTGACCGGGCCTGCAGTTCAGAATCAGAACCGGCCCGTGGCCTACGGGCCCGGTTCCAGTTCCAACAATTTTGGAACCAACGGAACCGCCGGTTCCGGGTCCTGTTTCAAAAAAAAAAATTGTAGATAAGTGGAGAAACTCTTTTTTTCCCCAAATTTGATTACAATGAACATTTTGATTACATTTTATATTGAATAATTCATTATTTTATAATTTGATAATTCATTATTTTTTTATTTCATAATTTATTTTTTTAATTTTTACCAGCCGGTTCCGAACCGGGCCGAAACCGGAACCGACCTGGAACCGCCGGTTCCGGTTCATACATGGCCACGAACCGGAACCGCCGGTTCCGAACCGTGGCCATGTCTAGTCGAACCCCATCAGTCCAAAACGAGATTATATTGCAAAGCTTTTTGGGGCGCGTTTGGCAAGTTAACAAATAGTTCTTTTATTTTCATAATTAGTTTTGAAACAGAAATTCATTTGGTAAATTTTTTGTTCCCGAGCACAAATTTACAAAAATTTATTTCTAGAATCGATTTTGAAACAGAATCGAGAATCAGAAATGGAAAAGAAATTTTTTTTTTCTTCTTCTTGGTTTTCTTCTTTCTCCTTGGTTTCTTCTTCTTCTTCGTTCCTGACCTGCCGTTGGCCGCCGTCGATTGGCCACAGGCTAGAACCGACGAGGGCGTCGCGGCCCTCGTCGCCTGGGCAAGGGCAACCCTCACCCAGGCCGCAACACCCTCGTCGGCCCTAGCCTGTGGCTAATCACCGACACCGGCGACCGGCCATGACCAAGGAAGGGGAAGGGAAAGAAAAAAAAAAGAAAAAAAGAGAAAGAAATATAAAAAAATTTAAAATATTATTAATAAAAAGAAATTTTGTGCAGTTACCAAATGCATTTCTGTTCTTTTTCTATTTTAAGAATAGAAATTTTAGATAGTTACCAAACGCCTTCAAATGCTTAAAAATTATTTCCGGATACGAAATCAAAAAGAATCATTTCTGAGCAGAATGGTATGCTCTCTATTTCCCAAAGCCAAAGCCACATCTTAATTGGCTCTAGACACATCCTTTCAATCAAAGAGACTGACGTCTCCATCACTCGTCTTCCTCGCGGAGATTCGTGTTGCAGAAACAAACTCGGGTTTTGTCTTTTGATGGGGTCAGATATAATTTAATCTCGAGACTAATAATCATTTACATGTCGCAAAAGGAGCCGCATGTTCGGAGCAACGGGAGATCACATCGATTCTACCGTATTTCTGATGACTAATCCACCTTAGTAATCAAATTTTATAATCCACCTTAGTAATCAAATTTTAGAGGAATTGAAGTGGGGCTTAGACAGCATCTACTGCAAAGGAGATTGCTGGGAGTGCTTTGAGGGTGATCGAGCCCAAGCAGGGATCCCATCCCAGCCCGATTGATCCACCGGGTTCGTGTTTCGGAGTTAATTCGGGCCTCGGCCCGATCCGCATATATTAGGGGCGGTTGATTCTAATCTCATACCGACGCGTTGGTCCAATACAAAATTTCTGCACCACATGTCAACTTTGATAGCTTGGAGTGATGTTGCAATGGAGATCATTCGTAATCTTTTTCATTTTCCTGTGTGCTGTTTGTTTGCTACATGCTCACATAAGATGCCACCTCTTTTAGCATACCAATTTAAGTTGACCTTTAGTAAATGTAGCATTACTCAATGTGTCATATCGAAGAATTCAATAACAATCTGACATATTAATTAGTATACTAGTAAATTTTTATTGACGAAAATAAATTTCATAACAATAACATCTTTAATTAATTGTTCCAGGATGTGAATATTGACAAGACTCATAAATATTTGGATTAATACCACGCAAAACCTTAAACTGGTACATTTATAATAATTTTACTCAAAATTAATTTTTTGACCATGAAAAACCCCAAACTGGTACACCTATGATAAATTTACCTCAAACTAATATTTTGACCACTAAAAACCCCAAACTTATACATTTATGATAAATTTACTCTCTGTTAATTTCTGTTAAATTGGATTAATTCCACAAAAAATCACAAACTGGTACACTTGTGACCAACGGAGGGTAAAACATAAAACTAGTACATCAGTTAACTGCCACGTGTTATTTAACAAAGCAATTTGACAATAAAATTTATCGGAAACAAACTGAGGGTAAATTTATCACAGGTGTATCAATTTGAGGTTTTTTATGGTCAAAAAATTATCAATTTGAGGTTTTTTATGGTCAAAAAATTAGTTCAGGGTAAAATTATCACAGGTGTACCAGTTTGAGGTTTTCGTGATATTAACCCTAAATATTTCATTCATCAAAAAAAAAAAAAGGCTAACACATATTTCATCGTAAGGAAAGGACTCGTGAGCATGTTTTGTTTTGTTTTCTTTTTAAATGTACTGTCCTAAAAAAGGTCAGTCAACGATCGAGATTTAT